ATTGTTTTTGTTTTTGTTTTTGTTTTACTTGAGCTGCTGAGCTAAATCCCTAGCCCTTGGATCTTTGATTAAAATAGTCTTTATATGTTGTATTAAGCTTGAAAAGCTGTAAGAATTACCATTTTTGAAACCTATTTTGAAAAAAAAATGCATCATTTTGAATTTAAAATTGTCATCTTTCCTAAAAATGAATTTTTAAAGTCCTGTGTCATTCTGAACAAAATGCAAACAATTAAGGACTTATCCAAGATTCTAAGTGTTACATATGAGTATATATAGGTCTTGGGTCTCAAGGAAGTTGTTTTTGCGATTTGATACTCAAGCAGTTGTGATGAAGGCAGCCACGGAGGAAAACCCAAGAATGATAGGCTCTTACAGGGATCTCTAACACTACACTAAAAATCAGTTTTTGTGGAAGATACAACTATGTTGTACATTTGGCTTTCTCTAAGACTGATTAAAATGAAAGTTATTTTGGTTTTGTAAATGTGTAATTTATTCTCTAGTGTCTTTATTTTCTGGCCTATTTGAATTTTTATTTTGTATATTATCATTTTGTATTACGAAAATCAAAATTATAAGGGCCTTTAAATAGTTGAAGACATCACTGGTACTAATTATACACTTTTTCCTGAGTGTTGAAGGCCCTTAACAGTTTCTTTTCAGAGCATGTAATATTTATTGAATGTCTTTTGTATATGAGATACCTTGCAAGGCAATTGCATATTGGCATTATTTTCAGTGAAGAGCAGTAAATTATGAGAAAGCTTAGGGTTTGCTTTACTGTCTTCTTTCTTCTTTCTTCTTCTTCTTCTTTGTCGTTGTCTTCTTCTTCCTCCTCCTCTTCTTCTTCTTCTTTTTCTTTTTCTTCTTCTTCTTCCTTCCTTCCTTCCTTCCTTTTCTTTCTTTCTTTCTTTCTTTCTTTCTTTCTTTCTTTCTTTTTTTTTTTTTTTAACCAAGATCACACTCAGGACCTCATACCTGCCAGGCAAGTTTCCTTGTTTTAGTTCTTTAGCTTTTTTATTTTTATTTTTTCTAAGCGTAGGAAAATTTATTGGAGAATAAGAATCGCTCCTGAGATACAGAAGGGGTCCCAAACGGGTTGCTCTTAGTTCATTATTTTTATTTAATATTTAAGATATTATTTGTTCTGTATACCAATTTGTAGCTAGCTATAAGAATTTATGGCTATTCATAAATACTTGCTATTCCAAGTCTTAAGTGCCGAGAACTTTTTGTAGTATATGGTTAAGTCTTCTCTGTGGTTTATAACCACTCGGTGTGTAGAAGCCATCTTCAGTGTACTTACCTTGACTTATGTATGCAGATACTCTGTGATGTTATACTAGGAATGAAAGAATGTCTAAAATTCAATGGGGAACAGCAGTGCTTTCACTTACACAAATCTTGGGTTCAGCCCTTTCTCTACCCATTAGAAGCCCTATGGCTTTGCCATATTGTTTACCCACTCTGCTTTAGGATCTCTTCATCTGTATTAGGAAGGTCATAAGAATGGATTTTCTTGGAGGATTTTAGGAGGATTCATGGGATGTTTACAAAATATATAGCAAGTTGCAAGACATACTATAGGTCAGTGGTGGTGAATCTGTGGCACACGTTTTACTTTTAGGACAAAAAATGTTAATGTATGAGTTGTTTAAACAAAAGCCTCAGTATTTGAGTTTAATTGCAGTTGGCACTTTGAGATCAATAAGTGATTTTGGGGTTGCAGCTCGGGCACTTGTCTCCAAAATGTTTGCCATCACTGCTATAGGTGCTTAATAAGTGATAGCTATTTTTATTTTAACTCACATTGCTTTAAACTTTCTCTAATTGAAAAAATTAAGGCCCCCAAAATTCAAAGACACAATCCAAAAATGGGCAACTGAGATCCACACTTTGACAAATAAATATATGAAAATATGTTCAGTGTCATTGGTCATGCAAGAAATACAGATTAAAACAACATTGAGTTTCATCTCACTTTAGAAAGAATGGGTGTCATTAAGATAAAAAGAGTAACCAGTACTGTGAATGTAGTATACAATCTGTCAAAACAAAAAATAAACTTTCTCCAATCACATTCTCTGTTTATCTATACTGATTTTACTTTTTTTAAAAAAAATTGTTTTTACTGAGGAAACTATATAAACCAACACCCTCAGACTACTTCAGGGTAGATGCAGGCCTCTTAAGAAACACGAATACTTGTCAACTAAAAGTTAATCAAAATAAGCAGTAGTATCACTTAGCATCTGTGCCATCATCTACAGAGATGGTAGGGTAGAGTAAACATTGTTTAAACCTAACAAAAACATCAAAGCACTGAAAAATAAAAAGAGTTCATTCAAAAATAACTAGGATTACAATCTGGGATATGCATGCTGTGGCAGATCATAGGCCTACAGAAAAAAGTGTAACAAAGGGAAGCTTTTAAAGCAAAGAAAACAAGTTCACATAGGCTGTTTTTGAAACAAAGATCTTGGCTACAGAACTTAACAAAGACAGTGGTGCTTGTTCTTTGGTTGTACTGGCTAGTGACTTAACTGAAAAGTTCTTCTTGGGAAAGGTCTCTATGGAAGTTCCTGTTACAGGCAAACATTCAAGAGAATTCTTCTTTGGGCCCCTTCAGCTGCACTTTTTTACAGTGTGACATGACTCCATTTTAGTACTAACAGTTTCCACAGTATCTGTTTTATGAATGGAAAGATTAAATGGCAGAAGAAGTAATCAGCTTGCCTAAACTCACACATTTAATAACATAGTAATATTGCTCGGATTTCTCCAAATAACTTTCTGTCTATATATAGTTGTTCTATATACTAGGTTATATTAACCTTCTAAGCTATTTTAAACTACCACAAAATAATAATAATTCAAAGCAACTCTACTGCTGACATTCACATCCATTATATCTCTTGATTTGTAAAACATTGTCCTTTCAAAAAAAAACTTTATATTTATAGATTATGTACCCTTAAGCTAGATTTCTGAATTTCAAATCCTACTCCAGCAGAAATCACTGTATATGCTTTGAGCAAATGAATTTATCTTGCCAAGTATGAACTGTCACATGAAATATGAGTAACAATTATACCTTTGTAATAAGATTGTCATAAAAATTAAGTGAAATAATATAGATAAACTTCTTAGAGTAGGACCTGGCTTTAAGTCTTAAGTAATTCATTGCCATTGTAGTGGAAATAGTAGGAATATTAGCTTAATATATTATCTCTAATTTTCTGTATTTTTTCTTCAGAGCAAGGATTTTGTTTCATTCATCTCTACATCTTATCTTAGAGCTTGTCATGTACAGGTTCTCAGAAATAATTATTGGACTGAATGAAACAGGCAATTTTTATTTTCAATCAGAAAGTTGTTTTCCAAAACAGAAAGCTTAAGCTCACAGAGGTTGCCCACAGGGTTTTAAACAGCTGCTATACATCAGTCACATCACTTACATCATTTTAGATAACTTTATGACAGGCTCAAATGGGGCCCTGGGATTCAACCCATTTCTTACAGTGCTGAGTCCAAACCCCATCCACGAAACTCTAATGTGCCTCCTTTTTTTTTGTATTGGAAATCAAACTCATGATCTCGCACTTGCCAAGGCAGGCACTGTGCCGCTGAGCTGTATCCCCGGCCCTCTTGTGATGTCTTGAGAAACATATGAGAATTCTTCCTTGTCGAGGTATTAATATATATTATCACTATAGCATTTTGTAAAATAAATATATTTGAAATAATATGAAGAATTAAGTTTTATTCCTCATTTGCTCTCAAAGAAAACTATACATGAAAACACTATGCCATTCTATCCTAGTTTTTGAATATATATAGAGAAAAAAGGACAACAGGTCACTGAGTGTGAATATGGAAAAAAATGAACAAATAAGTATCTGAACAGATACAGAAAGGATAGGATAAGCAAGTACTTTACAAATGAAAGCAGATGTATGAAATTAGAAGCTATCAGATCAGCAACAAAAATGAAGATGATAAAGTAGTTCTTTACATAGATTATAATTACTCATTTTTCCCAGTCCTGTCTCTCTTCTCTATATTGCACAGGGGAACAGGGAGGGAAATATGTAAGAGTCAAAGGTACTTTTGATTACAATAATTCTTTATATTTTTATTTGCATAGTTTTTTTCAATCAGCTTTCCCCCATGGAACCTTTTTCAAGTAATGAAAAAGATTCAGTTATTATTACAAGAAGTTTGTAACTGAAAGTTATGACCCTGTGAGGATGGCTCACAAAACAGGTAGCAGTAATGAGCCCAACTGTGACAGCATGGCACATAGATTGCCAAAAATTATGTAGTTTATATAGACCTGCCTAAAAAAGATATGCTTAATTATTTTATTCATATTAGGTTGACCTGAAAAATATTAAGTGACACAAGTCTATGGAACACAGACCTATCTATAAAGATTTTGACTTTTTCACTAAGATATATTTGGACTTTTTCTCCAAGACATTGTTTATAGATATCCTCTCTAAATTCTTTATTATCTTTAGGAAGACAGATAATTGGAAGAAATTATGTTTTAACTTTTCATTATTAATATGTAAGATAACATATAGATCATTAAGGATAATCAAGGTAAATATTATTTTATGAGAATTAACTGGTCCTTTCCCATAAGTTCCCATAAGAACTTTTAAAATAATTTTGAAGCAGAAAAACTGAAGATTATTTGAACATAGCCATATAAATAGCAGTAATTATGCTTGTTTCTGACATTTTATTTCTATCACAAACAAGTGCACACATTATTTTATCTGAAGCGCTTCCTTCCAGCATCCCCTGAGCATAATTACTAGTGTATTAGATTGTAGTTAACTATGCAGCATTTGGTAAGGATCCCATCTCTTTATTTTATCAAAGCAGTTTCATTTTATTTTCTTTGACTAAAAGTTATTTTTGTATTTTCAGTAATAAAAAATGTCTTAAGTAGTACCGTATCTGAATAATTTTCCCCTCTCGTTTAGTGATCTCTAGTAACTACCAGACCTGTCTTGGCCTTCTGATGCATTACCCAGTCATCGGGGATATACACTCACTGATTCTTAAGGCTCTGTTCCTTAGAGACCCAAAGGTAAGCTTTTTCAATAAAACATACACAATATTAAATTGAGTAAGAATTCCTGATGTAAAATTTGCCTAATGACAGACTTTGTCTATTGTAAATCCAAAATCAGAAACCTCATTGGCCAACGAAGAAGGAAATAAAGTGAACTTTGCCATGAGAAACTGTAACATAACTCTTGTTCCTCAAAAGATTGTTTTGCCCTTCTGTCTTCTTCATTATCAAAGAAAGAGTTAAGCAGCTATTCTCATAGCCAAACTTTATTATCATTGTACATCTCACTGGGAATGACTTTTATTCAAATATGGCCTCAGAGGCCTTATGAAGATCAAAAAAGTACATCCATACAAAGGATCAAGTCTGTGGGAGTTTATGATAGAATGAAATATTGAATTATTTTATATTATATGTATTTATTTTTCAAATTGAGTAACCTAATAAAATAAAGATTTAAAATTTGTAACTGATTTTTTTTCTACTTGAATGTAACAAACTTCATTAAAATTTTCTTTATACATAAGAAAAAATGTGCTCTTTTACAACTAAGGTTATATTTCTTAAAAATACGAACACTTAATGATCTAAAAAAATCTGTGAATCCTTACTACTTTTGAGCCAAACAAAAATATTGGATGAAGTATAAGAGAGAAAAAGCTTCAAATATGAATATCTCAGTGCCAGGCACTGGATGGTAATCCCAGCCTTTGGCTCTTTGGCAATCTCCCAACATTCATGTTGGCAGATTTCAGATTGTCTGTGAGTCAGTCAGTCTGTCTGTGGGTTCTATTGCCAAAGCTCTCTCTAATCAACTTCAGTCTCCAAGTTTAATACAAATTTTGATTCTGAAGGATTTCTGTTGTTTCCTAAGTTGGTGACTTCTTCCTTGATACATTCTTTATTTATTCTTCGACTGAGTTAAAGAATTCTCCCAATGCATATATATTTTTTCTAGAGAAATGCAAACTTCTGAATCCTTTCTGTAATACAAAATAATTTCATTCAGCATCAGAATTATAATTTTCTCTAATGTATAAGGAAGCATTTTTTTTTCTGGAGTAAAAGGAATATTACTGAAAATCTAGAGTTCCGTGTTTATATTCCTGTGTTCATATGTATGTGTATATTGTGGGAGTATCTTTTACCAATAAAATAAGATTCCTGTTTATAAAAGGAATAAGATTGTGTTGCTGGTCAGTGAAGTATGAGTTTCAATCTATAGACTCAAGGCTGTCAGCTCAGTATTAGGAATTCTATAGAGAGTAGGAAACAAATGCCAAAAGAGCAACATGAATTCCTTATTTGTGTGATTTTTTTTATTTAATGGAGGAAGAAGTAATATGTTACAAAACATATTGGTCTTGTTAATTTTTCCCTAGCTAAATATGTTGATCTTCCTATAAATCACTCATTTAGTTTCACAGTTCTTTGTACTAAGTCCATCAGTATTTATTGACAAAATCTAATTGCACTTTCATGATACTGTGATTTTCATAGAGTACTTTTTATCAATAGTATCCTTGATACAAGAATATAGTGAGCCAAATTCTATTAGCATTGAACATATATTTTTTAAGGCTTATGAGAAAAAAATGGTAGTATTATTATCTAAAAAGTATAATTCCCCATCCTTTCATTCAGTGTCTTACCATGTAAAAACATGCTCAAGCTAATGGTCCAAATGAGACCTTAAGCTGGTAATTTGGGGATAGGAAACAGGGCAAGATTAACAAGTTGTGTTCACAAGGCTCATGACCACAAGTTCATGAAGTGATTATATCAATAGGAAAAGTTAAAACTGTCCAGCCTTAGTTATACTTATGTGTGTGTAATGGCTGACCCATTGACATCATTTCATAAATTCCAAGCAATAACTAAGGTCTCTTATCATAAGTTTTAACATAGATTCATGGCAATGTAGTGTTCCCCAGGGAATCAGTAGAGGTAGAATTGTGAATTGCCATCTTCATTATTTTGGAAAAATTTTGTTTGCTGAGCCCTGATCTCCTTTTTTGTAACATTTGGAAATTGAATGAAATTGTCTCATACACCCAACCAGAACATTCTTTGTAAAGACTAGCTTTTTTTCTTTTAGTTTATTTTATTGGTGCCTTTTAGATATACGTAATGATCAATTCCCTATGATGACTGTGATCATTGTGTATGTCTAAAATGTACCAATAAAATATATCCTGAGATATAAATATATCATTTTATTTATATGTGTATGTGATTCTTTTTTCCTCATTCCTTCCCATCTCTTCAATCCAACTTCCCCTCCTTATTTAAAAACACTTTATCAGACATGGTAGCACACTCCTGTAATCACAGCATTTGGGAGACTAAGGCAGGATTGCTGTGAGGGTGAGGCCAGCCTGGGCTACATGTTCTCTTTTTCTCTCTTTACCTTTCCCTTCCCCCCTCCCTTATTCTACTTCCAATTTGAACATTTTTTTTTTTTTGACTTTCAAAGTGTCTATTATACATTTTGGTCCTTATTTACCCTTTTTGTTTGTCACATGAGAGAAACAATGTGATATTTAAAACATCAGAAAACAATGTGATATTTAAACATATCTCTTCAATTTGTTTCACTTTGAGGTATGATCTCAAGGTGATCCATTTACCTAGAAATGTCTCAAGTTTATCCTTTATGCTGGAGTAATTCCACTGTGTAAAAGAACCACATTTCTTATCCATTCATCTATTGATGGGCATTTGAGCAATTTCTAAGAGTTAGCTATTATGAATTGTGCTGCTATAAACATGGTTGTGTATGGTATCACTCTGATATGATACTTTTAATTATTTTGTGAAAATGCCAAGAAGGGGAATTGCTTGGTCAAATATAACCTCTAGTTTTATTTTTTTTTATTTTAAAGAGAGAATTGTAAACAAAAATAAAACAATGGTAAGATCGGCTAGTGCTTACATTGATTAATTTTGCATGCCTATATCTTGTAATCTGAGCAACACTTTGAAGACAACAATATACAATATATTAACCATTGTTAATTTTTTATTATCCTGTTTTATTTTTTTGAGGAATCTTCACACTGACTTCCATGATGTTTGTACTAGCCTATACTCCTACCAAGAGTACAGAAGTGTTCCTTTTTTCCCCACAACCTGCTAGTGTTTGTTATTGATTTCTTGATACTAGCCATACTTTCTGGAGTGAGATGGGATCTCAGTGTTGTTTTAATTTGCATCTCTTGAATGACCAATGATGTTGAACATGTTTTCGTGTATTTATTTGCCATTTTTACATCTTCATCTGAGAAGTATATATTCATTTTAGATGTCCATTTTTGGACTGGATCTTTGAATTTGGGGAGTGTATTTTTTGAGGTTTTTTTATATTATAGGTATTAGCCCTTTGTCTGAGGAATAGCTGGCAAAATATTTTTTCCCACCTTGTAGGTTGTCTCTTCACTCTGCTGTCAATTTCTTTGGCTGTGCAAAAGCTGTTTCATAAAATGAAATCCTAGTTTCTTATTCTTTCTAATATTTTGTGAGCAGTCAGGTTTTTGTTTATAAACTCTCCTAAAACAATGTATTCAACAGTTCTGCCTATTCTGTCTTCGAACAGATTTAGTGTTACATTTTGATTTTAGTTTAGTGCATGGTGAGGGATACTGTATAGGTTTAATCTTCAGCACATGTGCCTTGGTTACTTTTCTCTTCTTGCTGGGACAAAACACCCAACAAAACACCAAAATGAAAGAAGGAAAAGTTTATTTAGCTCACTGTTTCTGGAGGTTTCAGTCCAAAATCAGCTGGCTCCAAGGCAGGGTGGCATGGCACTGGGGCAACACTTCAAGGAAGCAGCCAGAGCAAATGTGGGGAACAAGCCTCTTCTCCCTTATATTATACACAGGCCATCCCTTTCTCCAGGACTGGTGTAGCACTCACAAAATCTCTGTGCACTCTTCTTGCACGGGATGAGGGTGTTTACAAACTAAGGATCCTGGCTCTCAGCTGAGTCCCTGGGTTAAATTTATGAAACATCTGAAGTTTACACAATGTATCAACCATAGCAAGGTGGAAAACCTGTTTTTGCAGCACCACTTATTAAAGAAGCTATCTTTCTTCCAGTAAAGATTTGTAGTGGTCTTTGTCTTTCTTGATCAGAATGGCTTAAAATTTACTTTGTCTCCCAGTAGAATAGCTACCTCTGTTTTTTTCCAGGTTCCTGTCATGTGAAGTATTACTTTCCATCCTTTGACTTTCAATCTATGAATTTCTTTTTGAGTTAAACATGTTTCTTTTATGCAGCATCTTCTTGGATCTTATTTCTTTGTTGGGAGGCATCATGTTTCTTGAGCTAGTCTGCCAATCTGTGTCTTCTCTCTGAATTAAGACCACTGATCTTAAAACTGGTACATACTGACTTATCCTCATCATTTTGTTTTCATCTCTGTTCCCTTTTTCCCCCCTTAATTTCTTGCCTTTCCTGATGGCTTCCTTCTGTTTTGGTTCATGAAATTGTAGTCATTATCTCTTTTTTTTTAATATCCTTCTGCATATTTTGGAGTGCTGGTTTGGTAATCATAAATTTATTGAGGTATTTTTTATCATGGAAGTATCTTTATTTTTCCATCAATTCGAAAGATAGTTTTGTAGGGTATATTAGTCTGGGTTGGATATACTTCATTCCAACTCTCCTTGACTTAAGGATTTGTATTGAAATGTCTGCTGTGATTCTGATAGGCTTTTCTATACAGGAGATTTTTGCTTTTCTCTAATAGCTTTCTGTTCTTATGTTGAATTTCTGGAATCCTGACTATTATATACCTTCTTGCAGATTTTTTTAATCATGGCTAATTGGAATTCTATATGTCTCATTTATCTGTGTATCAAATTCTTTCTCCATGTTTGTGAAATTGTGTACCATTACTTCCGTGAGCAGATTCTTTATGTCATTTGTACAATCTCATGCTTTTTCATTGACTCCAATCAACCTTACATTATTCTTTGCATCAGACTGCAGCTATTGGATTGATTTTTCT